CTGTTTTCCATGTCCTGAGTCATGTATGTCTCTCTTTATTTTAACTTCTTAAATTTCTGACTTCCTAAATCTCACTTTGTCATTCTCCTTATCTACAAGTAAGATTGAAGACCTGTTTCATTTCACCTCTAAGCAACCTGCTTGGTATCTCATCTATTAATAGGAGTGAAATCAGTGAAGTGGACATCTCTCTGTCCTCTCAACTCAGGGCCTTATTACCAAGTTGTAGACCTTCCTTTGTAAAGATACATTCAAACAAAGCACAGGAATTTTATGCCAATGTTGCCTTAAAGATCAGGAGCAATAAAAACTCCAGGCTAATTTAGTGTAGAGATAAGATATATAGCAGGTCTTTAGCGAAGGCCTTCTGGCATAGGGAGTACAGATAAGGCATGCACACATGTCCAGAGTTCCACAATGTATGGTCTGATCCAAGAACCACCTGCCCTCAGATCTGCCCCCCAGGCACACCTCCCCAGAAATTAGTCAGAGGTCCCAAGACCCCTTTCTTCCTCATCTTCCTCTTCTTCACAGCATGTCCTGTCTTTGGAGCTTTTCCAAGCTTCCAGACTTGAAGGTTGCCTTGACCTATGATGGTATCTTGTTGTTCCAGTTCGGGGTGCACATGTTCTTAAACAGAATGAAGGGCTGCCTTGAAGGAGTCTAAACAAGCTTACAGAATTTCGAAAATCCAGTATGAAATGGGGGTATAGGTTTTGGTAAGTGTAAACTACTATTCTAAAGTGTGACAGACTATATAGCTACATTAAAATCTACAAAAAGCTAAAAATCTGAAAATTCAAAGGCATCACTAACAACAACTTGACTGTCAGGTGCAACAAAACACAATGTGTGGATTCTGGTTGAACAGAGGGCCTGAACCTCCTTTTTGTCAAGAGGAGGAGGGGGAATAGGATTTCCTAGACAGCATAGAAGGTATCCAAAAAGGGATCATAAGAATCTCAGAGGAAAACACAAGAATTGTTACAACCCTAACTGTGCAGATATAGGACTCACTGGCCAAAGGCTGTCACTGTATAACAGGCAATTTTCTAACATGAATTCCTGACCTAGCCTAGCTTCAGAGTAGATGTCATTAGGAAATATGAAGGGCTTTCAGCAAAGAGAAGTGCTAAACAGCAAGCAGCACACAGTGGCAGTGACATAGAAAGGACAGAATACAACTTTCACCTGGACGTCTGTGGCTCCTGGCTACGTCATTTATCCTCCTTTCCTTCAGCAAAATAAGAAGCTGTATATGCTTTCCTATTTTCCTTTCATTGCCCCTTCATCTTGTGTCTTTGTTCTTCTCAGGCTACAGATGTGGCTCAGAATCCTAATGAGGGACAGGAAGTCTCTTTTCTGGGCAGGCAGATTTAAGTAATTATATTGGCTGTTTCACAACTCCCTTTTATTTGCTGGGCACTGAGTATATCATGTTATCTGTAGGTATTTGCTGGTTACTGAGATCTAATAAGTATTAAATTAATCATCTATTTTAAAGAATATCTTTCTTGTTTTATTTTGAAATTAAAGTATCTGTCCAAATAGGTGAGGTGGGGGAAGTTAGAATAAGTAGTGTCTATTTTTTAGAGAAATTCGTGGTGCTTCTCAGGACTGAAAAAAGATTATTTTATTTACTGCTTATTTTAATTTTAATTATACTGATCTATTATAAATCCTTTAAAGACTAATCCTGAAATGCCACTTACATTTCTTTTTGCTCTCTTTTAAAAGATTAATTTTGCCTCTAAGCAGATTCAAACTCTCTTGCTGTCAATTGACCACAGAATTAATTGCCATACTGATCACAGAGCTGTCTTGAATTATGAGAAAACATGTACTTTGCTTCCACTATAAGCATTTCTCACACCTTTTGCTTATCCAAGTGTATTACAACCAGGAAAAAGAAATACAGGACAACTTGCAACTATATCTAACATGGCAAATTACACTGGCAATTGCACTGATTTTTCAAGCCATGTGGTGAACATGTTCCTCTCAGGTGACAAAAAGCAGTACTGCAATGATCTATAGGAGAGGTTTAAACCAGATATTAGGAAAAATATCTTCACTGAAAGAGTGATCGGGCATTGGAACAGGCTCTCCATGGAACAGTGGATTCACCAACCCTGGAACCGTTCAAAAACCAAGTATATCTGACACGTGGGATATGAGTTAGTGGTGAACAAGGTGGTCCTAGGTGAACCCAATGATCTTAAAGGTCTTTTCCAACCTTAATGATTCTATTAAAACTATGAGAACTGTACCACCAGCTCCTCCAGACAACTTCAGAAATTGCAACCATAGTACTAAGGGAGGTAGTTAGGGAAGGTGCCCAAGGGATTTAGAATCAGTAAAAATCTTTCTCTGCTGTATGAGTCATAGGAGGAGAGCAAACAGGGCATGACAAAATGGGCCTTTTGTCCAGGAGAGTAAGGATGGGTTGTCTTCTCCAGTTACCAAGTGAACAAAGGTTATAGCAGGTTGTTGTGTTGGGTTTTTTTCCCTAGAGAACAGATAGAGTCTTTTAGCAAGAGGCAGAAAAGCAGATAAGTTAAGCAGGTCTGCTTTGTGTCAGCTTCCATGGCATTCAGGAGCAATAGGCACTAGCAGCAATAAACAGAAAATTAAAAAAATATCCCCAAACACCACCCGCCCCAAAAAAAACAACCAAGCAGAATCTTCCTTTCCTAAACCCATGCTGACTAACCCTGTTTCCCTGGTTATCCTGCACGTGCCACATCGTGGCGCTCAAGATGATCTGCTTTGTAGCTTTTCCTGGTACCAAGGTTAGGCTGAAAAGCCTCTAGTTCCCTGGATCCTCCTTCCAACCCTTCTTGTAGATGGGTATTACATTTACTAACTTCCAATCATGTGGACTAGGACTGCTGGTATATAGGAAGTTAGGACCTAAACCTAATGGGCTGTCCTGAAATGTCAAGCCTATTAATTCACACAACATGCCATAACCTTGTCTTCCAATGTTTGCCAAGTTGTCCGGATTTATGTCCAGTTATTGACCCTAACTAAAGTCTTGGAAAAAATTCCAAGTAAAGAAAAAAGAAAAATAACCTCATAGTTTTTTAAAGCAGCCCAACAGGCCTCCAATGTTCAACACTGCACTGAGGAGGTTATATCTAGAAGTTTTAAGACCAGTTATAAAACTATCCCCCTGATCTGCTGGTTAGGTTTGTTTAGCCATAGGAGGCCAAGAGAAATACCAGGAGGTGTGCTTCAACGATCTGTGTTTAGACACTGAAATAACTGACATAATTGGAAAAAAAAAAATTAATCCTCCAGTGGCTCTTGGGGTAAGTTTTGCCTTTTTTTTCTGTCTTCTATTGGACTCTTTCACTTAGCTTGCAGATATCTTTGTTTCTTTCAGAAGACAAGCATTTTCTCTTCACTGGAGAATAAGAGGTACAAGATTCTCCCTGGAAAGCTTTGAAAAGTTTTTTACCCCATTCAGTGTGACTTAGTGGGCATGTAGTAACAGTTAAGATATAGCTGCATGGAAGCTCTGCTTTGTTTGAGTTGAAAGCTGCTCATTCTTTTCTCTATTGCACAATTCAAGGGGAATCAGAAACTAGTGGAGCTATTCAAGGTCAGAAGTAGCAGTGAATAATAAGAAAGAATATTGCTATTCATTAATTAAGCCCTGTCTCCATTATGATCTTGGCATTACAGCTCAGTCAAGCTGGATGAAGTTTTCCTCCCAGTCTCAGCAATTATCTTCCTTTGCTTTCCAACTGAAAAATAACTAGCACTGCCATAACCACCCCATTCTTCTCATTTCCAAACTATCCCCCCATCATCCCCCATGAAAGGAAAACTATAGATACTTGTCAGCTCTGAAACTAGTTTGAATGACTCCATGGAGAGGTCTATTTAACATTTAATCCAATGGTGCAACACATCCACATATATTAATCCCTGTCATCTATGGCTAGTAAATATTTGCACAAGAAGAGAATACTACATAGCTAAAAAAGTGATGGGCTAACCACCTCTAAATATATTTTAAATGCAAATATTTTTGCATGGTAGGTCATTTTCAAATCAAGTTTTTAGTGATATTTTTTTAAGTTGGATTATAGAAAGCCCCTGACACTTGGTAATTAATATTCTCTATATAATCACAAATACATCTTAATATAAATATATATTCTGATGTGTAACTGTACCTGAGCTGATTCTGAATTACTCTTGTGGTACCTCTCAGCAGCTATAGTTCAACCACTCAATAGTTCCTGCTTTATTTGGTGACCTGAGCTCCTCTTTTGAACTGTATTTCTCATAAGGTCCTACTTCCCAGGTTGCTGCTGGGATATATAACAGGTTTCTAACATATGGATAAAGAGGTTAAATATATCTTAACCTCAGGAGGAATCAATAGCCTGCTTTGTGTCACAGGTCCAGTTATGATAATACCACAGACTATGGGTAAAGGAATCCGAGGTATTATGCAATTTCGTCCAAAAAGAAAGTTATTTCTTAGATAAAATGTCTAAATTAATGAGAAGAGACCATAGGAGTCTAGAGACATTCTAGTACATCACTAAGTCTTGGTCTTGCAGTGTGTGGAGCAGTACTGAGACTACAAATCATGACCAGGCTCACCAGAAAATGGTCTCTGAACTATTCCTTGTTTGTCTAAGGAATTGACTGTGGGAATCAGGGAAGTATTCCTGGTTTAAGCAAACCTAGAATCATATAATGGTTTGGATTGGAAGGGACCTTAAAGTACATCTAGTTTTATTTTTTTTTTCAGATTCATCACAAATATTTTACAAGCTTTCCAAATAACGTGAGGGGAGAAAACTCTTTGCTGTTCCACCAGTGGAGGGGAAACAGCCCCTATTTCTTAGGACTTTCCCACCAGCAGTATTTTCCAGCTGTGTAGTCTTAAGACTGATCTTGACTCAAGGTCGCAGAATAGAACAGCATTTGAATTCCATCCATCCCTAATCAGTACTAAGAAGCATGATTCTGAAGCCTTTCCACTTTCTTTTCACTTTGAGGACTGTTTTATTGTAAGAAAATCAGAAATGACTTCTAGTCAACACTGGAAAATAGAAAAAAGAGGAAATAATAAGGAATCAATACAGGTAATAAGAAATACGGTCAATAGGCTGCTGCAATACAAATGCAGATATGTCACATATGCTGGAGAGGTTTAATTTACCTTCATCCTTGATGAATAAACTAATAAATGGTTTTTTAATAGGGCTTGTAACATATTTCCCATTTGAGACATTAGGAATGCTTTAATGAAAACCTCATCCTCAAAAGATGATATTTTTGTAGTAAATTCTTCCTATAATGCTATTCTTGTATCCTCAGAATTCTAAACTATTTAAGCAATGGGTAATTTATTCTGTTGTCTGTATCTAGTGATGTGAGTCCTTGTTCTTTCTAGTCACAATTATTTCTACTAATAGTTATTACAAATAGCAAGATAATATCAGGAAAAAGACAAAAAGTGTATGACAGCTAAGTAAAGTAAGCGATCATCAGAGATCCTTTTGTGTTACCTGATTTTCAAGATGATGTACAATTTTTAACCAGTACATCACAGTTGCAGAAAACCCCTATGATACATTTTAAAAAGCACACATTTGAAACATTTTTGACAGCTTTCCTGCATTTCCTGCATATTCTGTGTGCAAGAATGCTCAAACACCCAACAAACTGATGTACATCTGTTCGAAGTCTGGCTTAGTTTCTGAAGTCTCATTTCTGAGAAAGAACTCTGGCTTATGGCACATACTTCGAGCAGCCAGGCTGTGTTCAGACAAAACTGCCTGCTGACTGAAGCACACAGTTAAGAACTGGAAACTGTAAAAGTGGGAAAGCATTAGAAATTATAACAGTTGGACAGAAGTGCTATTTCCTCATAGAAGAGAAAACAAAAGAGGAAACCCTGAGAACTCATGCTCATAAAGAAATTATGCAAATTCACCATTTTTTTTAGAGTAGCTTACGATTGCTGGAGAACTTTGGAGAGCCACTCTGCTTTCTATTATTTGCATATTCCATGTTCTGCAAAGTTTCACTGTGACTTTTGTGATACAACAATGGTTATATTTACATGCAAGCTGTATATTTTTGAGTTACAATTTTGTCTGCTCCTGCTGCTCTTTTCTCACCTGGAGTCATAATGCTCTCCTTAGCATCATAATCACCTGCACAGCAACCCATGTTGATGTCACAAACAAAGGGTTATGACTTCAGCTGAGTGATTGGTAGGAACAGAAGGGTTTATACAAGAGAGATACTGTCCGCATGCAAATGTGTCCATTTAAGAGGACAAAAAAGAGGAAGTGAGAGCCATTATTTACAAAGCAGTATGTTAGCTGGATTGCAGTCATGGAATGTTTTTCAGATTCTATGAAGCATTCAGCACATCTTAAAAGAAAACAAAAAAAAGCACAACCTGGCTCCAAATCTCTGCTGTTATCAATTGGCACAGATCACTGGATTCTGGCCCACCTGCAATCTGCAGCAAGTTGTGGTTTGCCTTTTACTCACTGTATGAGGATGCTGTTGATTCACTGCATCTGTTTTTGTCAGCCAGTCCCAATTTCAATTCTTTTATTTATCTGCAGCTATCTGTGCTCAAAGGCTGAGTATACCAGAGAAGCGCACTGGAGCTTGGCATCAGCTGTTATTAAACAAAAAAGTTGAACAGCAGATGGACATTAGAGAGCTTGGTTTCTCACACAGTAGGGGCAAGCTGAACCTTAATACCACTAAACAAACAAAAAGTATGCAGGGAAGTTGGTGGTCAGGCTGTTATCCTTACTGGTTTCTTTCAAGAGGAAGGAACATGAAACCATGTCTACACACAAGGGTTGTAACCCTTCTTCCTCAGCCAGGAGAACTCCTCACCTTTTCTTCATACTGTCAGGTTGTGCTTTAAGGCTGCTTGGACAGTCTTAAAACAAGTATGTGGAAGCCAAAATTTAATGACAGCACTGAGATAAGAAGTAGACTGTTTTAAACACTTCCCTAGATGCTACAGTCTAGCAAATGGATGGGACTCTGCTTGGAAGCTGTTGACTAAGGCATCTTGACTTAATCTGAAACAGAAAGGGCATTAATTCACCCATCAGGCTGTTTAGTGAAACCCTGCCCAAGAAAAAACCTGAGGCTGAGATCAGAAGCAAACAAAAGTAATAGGAATTTGGTATTCATGTGAAGGGTTCCTTTAAAAATCTAGTCCAAGACTGAGGAGGTGTCCAAGGACTAGGCGTGTCTGATATAGACTTAGGTAGCTCACAAAACATACCTGTCCTCAGCTCCATACAGACTCAGTTGACAGAGTCTGGCATGTACAGAGAGAAAATTAAAGCAAATATGTGAATGGTCTGCACATATCCATCTCTTTTAACTAATGGAATGAACATCTAATGACTAGTCCTCTGGGTTCAATATCTCGACTTCATGCTTAAATCAATGGACAAATTCAAGCCTAAGACTAACTGCAATTTCGAGCAGTGAAAGTGGGGCTTTTTACATGAGTAATTATATGGAAAGCTGATAACTTTTCCTTCATTAGAGAGACCTGAAACATAAAACTCTGTTTTATGTAGACATAACAAAATAATTTGTTTAGTGTGTGATGTTATTTTTCTATATAAACTTTTCTGTTCTCATCCTTAAAATTTAATTCCATATAGATGGCTGTTACCTTGACTTTCTCTCCTGAAACGGAACTGAAATGTCCAGATCTTAGAAACTGAAAAAATTGCAGTTTTAAAGAATTCTTTAGGTCCTATTTAAGGAATGAGAACTAATAACTATAACATTAGTTAATTTTGATATGAATTATCTTCCCTGCTGCATAACTTCAGATAGCCTAATTAGAGCCTACATTACAGCTTCAGATCTTTTGATCTCTATCTCAGAGATGATTTGAAAAATTTTACTAACTGATGAGCTACTAAGAATCCAGTAAACTCAAAACTAAGACTGCTTAGACTGACAAGATTTTTATGTCTTTCCTTTTGGAAGAAACTGTCAACCTCATTTATAATGGTGCTAAAAATGTTCGGGCTGGTCATTAAATTTTCCAATGCAAAACTTTCCAAAGGAAAGATGAGAACACTCTAAAACCTCAGTCTTACTGAAAAACTAAAGGAAATAATTAAAGGTCTTAATATTTCTCCTCATTCCATTGCAGAAGGCAATAAACAAAATCAGTTTAGATTGATTCCATTTCTGCCACTATGGATCTTAGGGTCTGCATTGGTACTAGCTGTTTTATTCTTCTATTAGCATATATATTACAGGATGTACCTTCACATTTTATATCAAAACTTACACATAATAGACCAGGCCTACAAGTCCTTTAGTAAGAGTAATGCTTGCCAGAAGATGGCTTTTCTCCTTTAGTCACTGTTCTTATAGTTTCTTGCTTATGTGGAAAAACAGAGGTGTACCTGACCTCATCTTCTCAGAGTCCTCCTATATTACAAAGTTAATCCTGTACTTTCTAGTCTTCCAAACAAAGTTTTGGGTGTAATACTTCCTTGAAATACTTCCTTTGGACAAATGGCAAAATTGGCAGTTCTTAGCCTGCTCTGTTCCTGTGCTACTAGGAAGTACGTGTAGTACAGCTTTCAGTGATGAGTTCTGTCTGCCAGACACATTGCTGTAGACTGTTTTTATGTATTCCATGTCCAGTCCTCACATAATTGTTCTCACTACAGCTGAACAGTTATTAGGTTTTTTTTAATCTGTTATATCTTTTTTGGTGTCCACACCAATAACTCGGAGAAATGTTGCCACAAAATATTGCTTCTTTACATCTCTGTAGAAAATGTTTTGGCTTTGAATTTTCACAGTTACTACCAAAATATAGCGATATCCCAAGCTACCTCATGCCAAAGAGCAGACTGGTTTTTGAGCCAATCGGGAGAGATTTACCAGCAGAACAAGATGTTCTATTTTTTGATGTTTATGCCCAACTCTGAAGTTGTTGCCAGTCCGAAGTATCTTTTGGCATTTTTAGAATGCCCAGACTAAGAAATGGCATGGCCCATACTACAGTCTTTCTTAACAGTGATGGAGGAAAAAATGCCAAACAACTGTACCATGACTTGCGAGAGAAGAATACATACCCTACCCTAGGGTAAGATAATGTGATAGGTCAGGAAGACAGCACAATGGAGTGGTGAGAGACATTCCCTGTTTCTGGAAAAATCTACCAATTCTGAACAAATTGATTCAAATCAGACATAGGACAAGCATTCATATCTCAAAGTTTCTGTATAGGCAGTTATTCTTGTAGAACTCCATGCTCTTAACAGCTGGGTGGTCAGCTGCACCTGTACTACTATCTCTGGTTTGTGCCATTCTTTAGTTAAAAAAAAAGTGAATTTGAACAAAATAGTAGTAGGGGATGCATCTGTGAAATCATTTAGTACACATTCTCAGACTCAGTTACAAAGCATGAATATTTACTTCTGTTAAGTATTAAAGGAATTTTTCTCTCCAAATATACCAAGCACATAAATGTCTAGCAACTCAACTTTGTATATTATTTTATTAGGTATCCACCCTGGTCATTCCATGATATCCACCCTGCCCTTCCTTGGTAACCGAAGTGCTTGATGTGACTGTGCACTCTGGCCAAGACTCAGCATCACTTTTAGTTGCAACAGTTTAGTAGAGATTGCCACTGAGGCATTGAATGGCCATAGCATCTTCAGCAGTTTGTGAGCCACCCCTAATTTCAGGATAGCTATTCAAGACCTATTCAAATAAGACCAAGTGTCCTGTGTAGCTTAACTGTAAAGGCTCAGGAAATATTGCGTGAACTATTCAGCTATTCTGACCCAGGTATAATAATCCACAATCCCCCTTTGTACTTTTGTAGAGCTCTAATATCAGCAAAGGGACTCAGAGCTCCTTCCTGTTTCACAAGGAGGGGCCAGATGCAAACCATTACTTTCCTTAGGTAAATGTGATCACTTAAATCTATCTCTTAGCCAACCAGATTAGAGGGCTACTAATATAAAAACAGCACCATTTGGTAAGAGGTAACAGCACAAAAGCAGGGAGATTTTTGAGCTGCAATGCACTTTTTCAGCTTCTTTACATTAGGTTTGTAAGTACGTTTGATCTTAAGTCCTGAAAACTATATCTATCATGGTACAACAGTCCTGATATTTCATCATTTCATCACAAGTTACATCTAGTTATGTTTTCACCCATCCTTTCAGCAAGCTCTTGCAAAAACTGACTTACAGTGTTGGAAAAAAATGCATTGAAAAAGAGATGCATGCATGAATGAAGACCAAATAGCAGGATTTAACAGTAAGACAGTGGAGATAAAAAAAAATGTACTATAATATCTACTCTAAATGAAACACATTAAGAGGGATAGTAAACACTGATCTATGTAATGGACAGCACAGATTCCCTGCCCATAAAAATAAGTAATAAGGAAATGCTTTGTAAATGGAAGAAAGTTTAACACAAGGGACACTGTTAAAAATTTTATGTATCTCAGGGCTGGTATACAGCATGCAAGAAATATACCTTCAAGGGCATAAAGGGCTTCCCCTTTGGTACATTATCTGGAAACCATTTGTAAAGTAGAAGCCCATTATTCAAGCCACCCCAGGAGAACAGTTTTTTAAGAATATGTATTTTCATGCTTTCTAGAAGCAATAAAGGAGCTGTCACTGTGGGTGATTTTCAGTCCATTTAAAAGACATTGCTTAGAGAGGAAGGAGTTCTTGTCCTGGCCTGCAGCAAGGCAAGAATCCTGAAGAACTGAGATGCTAGTATCATTCCTCAGAAAAGAGAGGCAATGGAAAACATCTGCAGGACTTCAGTGCTAGCTGTCTCCATTCAGAATGGCTACATAGTGCTTTAGCTGTACTCAGCTCTCTGAAAATGTTGCACTTGAACTAAACAAAATGAAAAAATTTTTTGCTATTTTCACACTTCCAAAATGTGAATTTGTTTAAAATGTCAATAAACAAAGCAACGTGATAGAAGTCCAACTTTTGTCCTATTTATGATTATGTGTTCATCCTTCTACTCAGAAAATATAGGAACTACAGGCTAAAGTGCAGTGTTCAGGAAGGCAG